AATCGACGAAAACGCGCACTTACCACTAAAATAATTGATAAAACGAAAGAAAATTTTAATGATTTGTATTGGGAAATCAATAATCAAGGATCATTGGATGTTAAGCGTCCAAAAATTGAGTCAAATGAGGAAGAAGAAATGAAAAGAAAAATGTTTTCTCTGATAAATGAAAAACAAATGCAATGCATACCTTGTAAAAGAGTTTTTCCATCAATGACTAATCTTAAAAGACATATTGCGTTGCATATGAAATGGAAAAGATTTCAATGTGGCCTCTGCTGTGCTCAATTTTATCATCGTAGTGAATGTGTGTATCACTTAGGACGATCTCACAACATGATGGGTGACAAAATATTTGCAGACACCTTGATTATTCCAATTCAACATAAGGACTCTGAAAGTTGTTTAGATAAAGAAGTAAATAATGCCGATGAAGAAATAATAAACAAAAGCTTAGAAAATAAAATTAAGCAACCAGATGATATGACTAAAGATAATATTGATTTGGCAATTGAGGATGTTATTTTTAAATATACAGACATGGAAATTATTCCTAAGGAACAAGCAACTCATGATGATGTTGAAAATAATATTTCTAATAAATTTGACAGTAATGAATTTACTAATAGAGATGAAATCCATTCTGCATCATCTCAGGAAATTATGGATGAAACTACAGATTTAGCCCCTGTTAAAAAACGCGGTCGCCCTAAATTATCCGTACAATTAGATAAGATGATTAATGATGAGGATGATAATCGTGAGAAAAGGGGCAGAGGTAGACCGAGAGGAAGTATTAATAAAGAGAAAAAGAGAAAAGTTAAGAAAAGAAGAAATTCTGTAGAAAGTCCTTCATCTCAAGAACCAAATGCACAACCACAAGATCCTGAAAAAATGAGAAAGATGGTGCTAGAAGTTATATTTGGTGGCGAAAAAACTGATGATAAACCTGAGGAAACAGTAATGATTAAAAACGAGCAACTTTCCTCACCGGATACTGATGTCAGTTGTGCTTCCACAGACTTTGAGATTAAAACTAAAATTGATAATACTACTGACAGGCGTAACAATAGGCCTGTGAGGAATCGGGTAAAAGTAGTCAACAAAGACTTTGTTTATGATCTATCTGATCTTTTAAAAAAAGAAGCTGAAGCATATAAGGAAAACCAATATACATCCGCATGTAATAAATTTAAAAAAAAATCTAACTCAGTTTCACAGCTAGAAAATTCGAATATAAAATTAAATGATAATTTAAATTATGAAAATGATAATATTATATCTGAATCCATTACACCATGTATAAATCCTACTACACCATTAGAGAAAATAGAGCATTACGAACAGAAAGATCAGGTGATTGATGAACCAGTAAGTATCATGGATCAAAGCTTGAAAAAAAAGAGTGTTTCAGGTAAGAACTTTAATAAAGAAAATATAGTAATATCTACAGAAGGAATAGAATTCAAACCTCAAGATATCTATAAAGCTGACGGTTCTGTGGATGATATTACAGTAATTCCTATCAATGTCACAAATAATAGCATCGAAGATGATGATGAATCTAGTTCAAGTTCTGATGATGAAATGCCTAGATTAGAAGTTAATACAATGCACGATAGTAATGATGAAAATCAAAATGATTCTCTTGAAACAAGTGAATCTGATTCAAGCAGTGACTCTGATAGTTCTTGTCCTGATATTACTGAAAACACTTATAAATTAGATGGTTCCCCTCCAACCATTCAGTATGTGAATTCTAGTTCATCAAAAAATGTTTTTAAAATACAGCAAAATAATGCTGAAATTCCTAATCAGGTTAATAAAGTATATATAAGAAGACCTACCGGTAATTTACAGGAAGTTGTATTCGAGTCTCCTGAAAGTAATGAACATGTTTATCAGCCACTAGTGAATGGTGTAACGAGTTCTAATTATAGCCTTGAATATTCAAACGATAATGGCACAGAATCTGTCCCTCTGGAATGTGATTCTACTCTTGAAGAGAGTAGCTCCGAAGATGACTCATATGATAGTGATAACTAATTTGTAAATAGATATTTAATTATTATATAAGTGTATATATTTATTTATAATTTAAATTCCCAATAAAAATATAAAAATTAATTGTATTTTTTTTTAATTAGTCTTTCTTGCATGCACAGATACTTTAAGCAGTTTGCATGATATTGCAATACTTAGCTGATGTGAAGATATATAATAAATTAATTTATTTTGATATTACAAAATTAAGTATTATGATTTACAACGCTATAAGTAGTATGTCAAAATCTTACTGATGTACTGAATGAATATCTATCAATAGATATTTATTCAGTACATTAGCAATATTTTAATGTACTGTTATAATTCAGAACATTATTTTGTTGTAAAGCATAATATTTAATTATGATACATATCAAAAAATTTATTTATTAAATATCTTCACATAGCTTAAATAATTATTTCAATAGTAAGTTTGAGCATATATCATTCAAGAAGTAATTATATATACATATATACTGTATGGATCATTTACTAGTTATGTTTAAGTTTTTTAATTGTGATCATAATGTCATTATAAACTTTTAAATTTTGTTTTTACATTGTACATAATTGTATTATGAAAAATGTCACTAATTATATAAATTATATTACCAAAACTTTCGTAAACCAAAACTTACAATTGAAATAAAATGAAATTTTTATGTGTATACTACAGTTTAAAACTAAATCAACAACTATATATAAATTTTAAATCAAAATTTCGAGCTTTTATTAAATCTAGATATTATGACGTGGAGTAAATTAAATATATTAAATCTACTTCATGAGGTGGATACAAAAATTGTTCGCAAATTTTTTAAATCAAATCATTTAAAGTATCGAGTTACAAATGTAGAAAACGCAGAACTATATAGAGACAAAGCAAAAGGATATAATAAAATTATTGGAGCTATTGGACAAAAAGGCAAAATAAAATTTTGTCCAAATATTGCTACAACAGGTACAAATAATGCAATCCCAGGGAAAGTATTCATAAATACTGGACCCGTAGAAGCAGAGGCATTATGGAAGCCCTTCATGTTCACCGTTGCTTTTACAAGCATCAGTTTTATGATGGCAGTAATACTGCAATATGAAAGAGTTAGAAATTATGCGTATAGAGCGTTAAAAGATCCAGACATTTGGTTTAATTATCAAAATGATAAACATCGCTCCTCTTCAAGAGAAAGTCAAATCGCAAAAAAAAATTGGTGGAACAATTTATCTAGCGGCGAGCGAGTATTTTTGCCGATATGCATTGCTAATATTATTGTATTCGGAGCTTGGCGTATACCCAGCCTGTTACCAGTAATGGTGAAAAAATTCTGTTCTAATCCAGCAAGTAGTTCTCCCTGTTGGCCAATGTTTTTGTCGACTTTCAGTCACTATTCACCTCTACATTTATTTGCAAATATGTACGTTCTACACAGCTTCAGTGCTGTGGCAATGTCTTCTCTCAGTCCAGAGGAATTTCTTGCCTTATACTTCAGTTCAGGTGTCATTGCAAGTTTTTGTAGTTACTTAGTTAAAGCAGCTACTGGTAAATCTGGATTGACTTTGGGTGCATCAGGTGCAATCATGGGCATAATAGGATTTGTCTGTTTAAGATATCCTGAAACAAAATTAAGCATAATATTTCTACCCTGGGTCCAATTTTCTGCGCTTTCTGCAATAAAAGCTATGATGGCATTAGATATTACTGGAATTCTAATGGGCTGGAGAGTGTTTGACCACGGTGCACATGTTGGAGGAGGTCTAGCAGGAATATTTTGGAGTTTATTTGGACATCCAGAACTTTGGCAAAAACGGGAAACTTTACTAAAATATTGGGTAAAAATAAGAGGAGGGCAAGGGCCAAATTAATATACATTTATATGTTATAAAAATGTACCTGTTGATCATTTCAATGTATTCGAATATTTGCTGTTATTAAATTTATAGTTAAAAATAAAGTATTTAATTGAATCAAGATAGGAATATTTTAATACAATTGGAATAAATGAAAAAATGTCAGATGACATAACAAAAGCTCTTTGAAATTAAAAAAATACGCACACAAGTTATTATGCAGAGACGTAGTGGTTTTAATTTAGGATCAAAACATTTACTCTAAAAATAAAGTTTAATTCACATATTCATAAAAAAATCTTCATAAATTTTGGAGACATACATTTTGAAAGTTTCTGATCATAATTCTCAAACAACACAAAATCTGATAAATATCCGTCCATATGTATAGTATAGTCTTTCTCACACACTTGATTGTAAAATTATTGACTGATATTTCATCAATATTTTATTTTATTTAATTCAGTCTAACTTTTTTTTCTGGAGGAGGTTTCATACTCTCATTTTTAATATCAGGTTTGATGTCTATTCCATTTGTGTTATTTCCTACATTTTCTGCACTTGCAATACTATTTAAATTTTCAGAAGCACTGTCAATGGGCTCTTGTTTCACTGTTACAGGTTGTTCAGATTTATCTTGTGTAGCATTTTCTGTTTTAATATTAGGCCCACTTTGATTTTGTGGTGGGTGTGGATACATTGGAATAGGAAATTTTCTGGTCAATTCAGCTAATAACATATCCACACGCTGTCTTTGAAAAAGTGAGCTGGGTTCTTCTTTAGTTTGAGATGTTTCTTTTTTAGGGAGAACATTTGCAACAGCACGATCTGTGCCAGGACCTGAAAATAAAATATAACAAATATTATAGTACACATATTGAATAAATAATTAAATTATAAAAATGTTGAGTTCTGCTACAGAACAGAATAGCTATATTTCATGCTTTTACTAATATATATATATATATATATATATATATATACATAATTTATATTAATAAACTATATAAAAATATATCATTCAAAAATTACCTCCTGATTTTGTTGGTTTAAAATCCCATGTATAACCTTTACTAGGATGGTACCTTGCATAAGAACTTGCTTCATCAAATGCGCTTTGAAGATGATGCACAGTAGATAACTGAATATATTTTTTAGATATAACAATTTGTTAAAGAAAAACTATAATTTTATTCAAAATAAATGAATTTACCAAGCGAGAGTTGAGTACACTAGCCAAATCTGGAGCTTGATATACAATACCAGCTATAATATAATAATCAGCTATTGGTGTACAATGGTTTTGTGTATGTCGATGTTGCTTTCGTATAACATATAAAATGGGTTCTTGAACATGAAGAAGAATATATTCTAATCCAGTCATATTGCTAAAATGGAGAGGTTTGTTTTAAAAAACGATCAATTAGCATAAATAAATTGCAAATTTGAAAATATCTATGCATTTTTTTGCAATTCAAGTATTTAAGTAGTTGATTATAATAATCAGACTTTTGAATTAAAGTTTCTTTTTCATATTAATCGCAAACATATATTTGTATTAAAATGTTTTAAAAATTTAATGCATTGTATATTAAGTTTGTATATTTTTCACAGTCAAAACAAAACCATTAACTGTTTCTGGCAATATGTAATGTAAATGACTTTGTATTTAAGGCAAACTTCTAATTGCTGTGAAACTTAACTGTAAATGTTCAGGACTCAATCGCTGCATTTTAACTATTTCATTATTACAAGACCTATCATAAAACGGATTAGATCTTTCTGAGAAATAATCCATTACAGTGGTAGTATTAAGCATTGGAATCCAATTTGTATCGTGCCATGATAAGCCTAATGGATTGCTCTCGGTTATCATACCCAAGCGGCCTGTTTGCCCGAGCATCATCTATGTAAAAAAGAAAAAAAAACATGATAGTATATATATATATATATATATATATATATATATATATATATATATATATGATAAATATTTTTTAAGGTTAATTGAATTTAAGGTTTTAATTTGTCCCATCATTTAGTGGTATAAATTAAAACATATTCTAGAACGATCACAATATTTTTCACATATAATATTTAGTCGCTAGCAAGTAAATAGTACCTTTGATAATAAAATTTATAAAATATGTATTTGAAATCTGATGAGCTGCTAAAATCTTCTGATTTGACATTTATTTCAAAACATCAAACGGAGTGAAGTTCCTGCGTATAATTAATTTTGACAGATAAGTCGTTGGTGGGCCGTTAATGTTGCGCAAAGAAAAGTCTGAAACCTTGAAGGCGCTGCAGTCGTTTAGGCGCGCCGAATACGAACGTGCACTTACTTGCTACAATAAGGTAATATCCTAATATCATAGATAAAAGAAGAATATATATATATATATATATATATATATATATATATTTATATATAAGAAGATTATATATAAGAAGAGTATATATATAAAGAAGAATAATATATAATTTTAAATATAAATAATATCAATTTTAATACAAATTGATCTGACCAAATATATAATCCTTTCCAGGCTACAGATTTAATTCGCGATTCTCCGTTACTTTATACCAATCGAGCTTTGACCCTAATTAAATTAGGACTTTGGCAAAAAGCTCTCGGTGAGTGTCACAAGTACGCTCGTAGCATCATCGTAGCATGATCGTAGCACATACTTTGCGCTCACGCCACAGAGGTCATATAATCCCGCAAAGATGGCAGGCTGTATATCACAATTATTTTTTAATATTAATATTAATAAATTTTAAATAATTTTAAATTTTAATTTTAATATTACTATTAATTAAGCATAAGCTCATCAAATTTCATTTATTTATTAATTGTTAAATTCTTTATAATCCCGCAAAAATGCCAAGCTGTATATCACAATTACTTTTTACTATTAATGTTAATATTAATTAATTTTAAATTTAATGATTTTTAAATAATTTTAATCTTTACTTTATAATCCCGCAAAAATGGCAAGCTGTAGATCACAATTATTTTTTGTTGAGCTACTTAATCCAGAAAGTAATAAAATTTACACAATTACTGTTACGGACCGTTGATAATTATTGACGCTCATAGTATCCAAAACGAACAAAATTTAGTTATTGATTCTAAACGCTTATCGGCCATCTCGAACACTAAATATATATGAGAGAGAGAGAAAATCGGGCATAACAAGGATACAAACATAAATTTCTTTTAAAAAAAAAATCCAAAATCATTCACAGATATATATAAATCTGTGGAAGTGCCAGCCTAATATTAAGCTGATTTTATTTTGATTGAATGGCACATTTGGATATTCAAGCTTTTAATATATTATTACGTTAACGGAACTGAATAATATCATAAATAACAAATTAAAAAATATAAATAAATAAATAAATATATATATATATAACTATATATATATATATATATATATATATATATATATTCATATGAATTTATATTTAAATTATAGGTTAATAAAAAGATTATCAGTAATAATTACATGTCTACGTGAATAACATTACTATATTATAATTAACATAGGAAATAACAAAATTAATAAATTAAAATTTTGCTCACACACATTAAAATATAACAATTTTTAATATATATACATATCACATTTTTTATATCTTTGTGTAACTAGTGAACAATTATATTTATACATGGATCAAATTATGTATGATTACCAATAGAAAATCAATCTTCTTTCGAGTGATAGGCAGAAGTATTTGCAGTAGATATAGATTCCCTTCTAGAGAAAGATTGTCTTTCGTTATTGTCGGAAGTAAAGTAGCTCAGAAGTGACCTCAGCCTGTTCAGAATAATAAACATTTAGATACTATATAAAAATAAAAAAAGTCCTTATGCTATATCAATATTATAATTTTTCATTTGCGATAACACTTTTTATAAATAAATGTGCTTTACTTCTAATAAATAAATTCTAGTATAAAATTAGTATATATAATATACCCTACGTTCATAAATTTCAAATTTATAAAAAAATCTAAGCAGACTGTAAAAACAGATAAAATATTTACACTTATAAATAAAATACTATCAAATACACATTGTCATATAAAAAATGCAGAAAGTCTTATAAGATATACATATCAGTCAGCAAGTTATGAAACAGTCTATATATATATATAGATCACTAATCTAGTCAATATAATTTCTTTAAATAAAATTAAAAATAATTATAAATTAAATTACAAACTATCCTAATGGTAAAAAAATCAACAAAATATTGTCTTAAAATATTAATCATTTCTGTAAATGCAATAATAAATATGTTTACAGTTTTGCTCAGCACTTCATCTGTGAAGAATATGCTAGTATTAAAATATATTTAAGAACATTATCCTCTACATACAAATAAAACAAGCTATTATTGAATTTAAAAAAATATTTACAAGAAAAATTGATTTCACGAACATGTCTGAGACAAATGTTAAAATAAAAAAATTTATAAAATCAGGATATTCGCTATGACAAAAATAGCCATATATGCCTCTTCTTGACTTACTAATCTCATTATTAGAGATTTACATTTAAATATCGAACAGAATATTTGGCAAATTGATTTAGTCACAATATTCATACACAAGATTTATCTAAACTTTACCCTGTCAATTGTGACTAGACTTTGATGGCCCAAATGACACAGAAATAAATATTTATTAAACTATAAAGAAGATTCTGGTGCGAGGCATTTAAATGTAAACATCTCAACGTATATGTAAAACTTCAATACATACTTATTCACAAAAGTTTAGAAAACTTGTAAAATCATCCATAACAAAACTATGCCAAAAGTGATTTAATCACATTTAGTTATTTTTTTCTCTTTTGCCCAAGTCAATTTAGAAATGTAACACAACTAGTTAAAATAACGTAGTTTTCAACTAACCGGGCATATAATTCTCTGCGTACAGTTGCAGTGAATTTATTCATAAGACATAGGGTAGCTGCAGTTGCAAATACTAGGTTGTACATCAGGACGATTCGAAAGTTTCCTAACCATTCTATGCGCCCAAAATCACCCATAAGGTCGAAGTTTGTGACACCTGAAATTTATATTTTATTGAATTAGTCAGTAGTTAACAAATCAAATCTAGATGTAAGTGGAATTTTATATAAAGGCAATTTAAATAATCATTAATTTAACAATTTTCCAAATTGTGATAATAAATTTCAGAACTATTACAAATAAAGTTAATTTTTCAAATTTGTAATGCAATTTAACAATTAAACTGCTTTTTGTTGGACTATAATATTTTAGCACATATATACCATGGACGTCAAAAAAATTTAACAATGAAGAAGCCAACAGGCCAATCTTTACTAAACCTATGCTTATAAAATATATGTATGATTCTAAACTGATATCTATCGAAAAGATTTTGAATTTTCAAAATCGGTTCAGAACTCTTAGCGAAAATGTTAACACTATCAAGTTTCAATGAATGGCTTTCAAACTCTCGAAATCGTGTGTTTTTGAGAAAATGTCGGCAAATAGCCAAATTTTGGCTCGCATACAAACACACGTGCTTTTTTCCATATTGATGGTAAAAGAATGAGAATGACTTCAAACGTATAGAAAACAAAATTAGCAAATAGGATTTTCGGACAAAACTATAAACTTTTCCTTCGGTTAGTTAAAAATGAAATATAGTTAATCACCGGTAATATAAGTAGTGTCATTACAGGCTTTTTAATGGCATTTTCTTATTTGATTTGATTTTCCTTAATATTGACTTTTCCAAGTAATTCGTTATTATTCAAAATTATAATATTCGACATAGCTGAAATTCACATAAACTATTTATTTAACCATAAAAAATATTATATGTAATTCTATATTAAAAGAGAGATATCGATGCTCCATGGCATATTAGAATAACGTGTCAAGCCCCCGCTCTGGTAATCTGACATCGGGCAGCAGAGATATCCACTTTCCCTTTAAAATATAGATAGGAAATAAGCCAATTTCGGGCAGTTTAATACAGTTCACAGGCCTGTAGGGCCGCAAATAATTATTTTATTATTATCAAAAGAGAGAAAACTTGCAAAATAATCAATTTAGCTACTTGCATTGCATAAAAAATGTAAATCTAATCTTTAACAACTTTTAGTTTTATATAATAATAAAATAAATGCAAACCTAAAATTCTACTAAGCAAAGGCAGAGCTGAACTCAGTACCAGCACCAAGGCACAATTTGCTATGACATGTGATAAGGGCGTTCCACGGGGCCTGGGCCGTACTTTGGACAGTAGAGGTAGAGAATATAGTCCCACAGACGAAGTAGCAAACAAATACAGAATCAGAGTAACTTCTAAAGCGGCTCCATAAGGTCCAAGTTTAGATAATGAACTTATACCAAGAGTGAATTGCTAAAATTTTAATACATTGTTTATTTGATTTATAATTAATATTATCTACATGATTAATTGAAATTTATTCATTAGGTGTGTTGTGAGAATAATGATATATTTTAACACTCAACATCGTTTTAAATAAATAGATATTTATGCAATACTCACCCTTGAACTCAAGGGTAGTGCTTTGATTCCAATTAATAGTTCTAAAGTGTTTTGCAATACCATTAAAACTGTAATCGTAGTCAAAGTCAAAAGAAGCAACATCGCCAAAGGGTAAACGAGGTTCCTCTGTAAAGCAGATGTATGCCTTTGTTTATCTGAAATTAGCACCAGTAAAGAATTATTTTTCAACTATTAAAGAAAGAATAATTAAAATAAATGTACAATGAAATAATATCAATTTATGATAAATATTTTAATTACCGAGAATTTGTCTTGTTTGAGTTAGTTGCAAAAGCCTTTCATTCAAACCTCGCTGTAAACAACCATTTTTCAATAACAATGTTTTTGACAACGGCAAATCTGTTTGGTCAAATTCATCATCCATGACTGGACTACAAGGAGGAGGCGCCATTGGTGTAGGGCTAAGGTATCCTTGACCTATTCATAAAATATAACAAAAATATAAAGTACATACCAATATTGCAATTTTGATAATATTAATAACTTTTTACCAGTATCTATGGCATGTTTCAGTCTTCTTCTAGTGGTTTCTTCCTCTAACGAATAGGCAAAGAATTCTTCATTAAGATTCCTGAGAAATTGAGGTTTGACTAAAAATTGCCCGACTACTCCGAATAATCTTACAAAACCTAAGGGTGTACACACTGGAAAAAGAAAAAATAAGCTTTTACAAATCAGTTTGGAAACAATTCGTATTTAATTTCTAATCAATGTAACATTCAAATTCCAAACAGATAATTTATTAAAGTTTACCAAAAATTAGTAAGAGGTATAAATTGACATGCGAGGTGTGGCAATTAAGTAATGAGACTGATTATATTGCCGCGATTCTGGTAATCCTACGACTTTAAAATTGCCTTTCCCTTCTCCCGGTAACCTTCCCCTTTTTTTGATATATTTTCTATATCCCTGGCTTGTTTAGTTTGCTTGCTCTGCCTTGTTGAGCAAACGTGTGTTCCTGGTCACCCTGTGACTTTTTTTTGTTTCCCAGAACAAAATCGGTGGTGAAGGAAGCCCATTTTGAGTCGATTCAGAACATCTAGGCGGACGTGACGAGGGTACTTGTAGACCTCCCAGTCTAAGCCTTCCAGAAATGTTACGAAGAATGAAAAACGCGCTGGAACTGTTGTATAGCTGCCCAAGGGGACTACTTTGAAGGGAATGACAGAGTTGTAGAATAATTTTGAAATATACAGTTTTTATGGAATCAGTCTCATTACTTAATTGCCATACCTCGTATTCTCTCCAAAGCTACGAGCCATAAATTTTTTTTGGTGAACAATAATAATAATATTTTCAACAAATTATTAGTCTTACCGAATTTTCTAAACGTCGATTATCTAGATATTTTTGTAAAAAATATTTACTATATATGTTAAATAAAAAATTATTCGTAATACTGTTATAATAATAATAAAATTTTAGAAGTCAAAATCTTAATTTCACGATTGAAAATCATGAACTCGCCAAGCAATGCGCGGCAATTCTTGAATAAATTCCAACTATTACCCATGTAACAATAAAAATGTATTTCATTCGCCATATAAATATAAAAAAATTTTGATCGTTCTATTTTATACATATTTTTAACTTCCCGTAGGATAGTTATATATTAATGGGCTGAAAATCAAAAATGAAAATTTTTGCATATCTTCACGTTTTGAAGGTTTCCGAACATTTCGGCCATACCTCAAAAATTTTCAGAAAAATGGATGTGTGTGTGTTTTGTATGTCCGCATTTTTTCGTTCACGTTTTCGGGCGAACGGATCGACCGATTTGAATTGTTCAAAAAACATTCGATTCCTACTGATGGGCTGATTAGTTTTTACCAAAGGCAGGTCCAGTCGTTACGGATATATGGACCAAAGAGTGCAGAAAATAGGAATCAAGGTTTCGAGAGAACGGAGTATCCGATTGATCCGAATGATCCAAAAACATTCAATTTGTAATGATTGGGAGAAGTGGTGTTTAGTTTTTGGCAAAGGCAGGTGCAGCCGTTTTGGAGATACAAAGCTAATTGCGCAAAAAATGGCAGTTTTTGAGAGAACTAAGCATCCGATTTGAATGATTCAAAAAACTTTCTGCTTGTTAAGAAGACACTTCAAAATTTATTAATTCAAAATTTTGACAAAATAATTGCTTTTAATAAAAAAAAAACTTTCTTTTCAAAAAATTTTTGTTTCAATTTTTTTTGTATATCGAAAATAATTGAGATTTTAATTTTAATTTTGGCTAAAGTTCAAAAACTCACTTATATACTTTTAATGAATAATTTTTACTTCGCAGTTCAGTTTATATAATTCTTATACATAAATATAAGACAGTGTTACAATATTTTTAATAATCTATTTGAAAACTTGAGGCACGATGCCATACACAACTAGTATGTTTTACTATAAAAAAAACTATAATAATTTATTAAAAAATTAAGCAAATTATTTTAAATAATAAACGATTACATAAGTTACTAATTACTTTTACTACTACATTACTAAATAAAACTGAAGAAAACAATAATAAATAAAAATTAACTAATAAAAGCGATTACTAATATATATAATTATTACTAGTTGACTATATTTATACTTGTTTATCTATTCTAATACATATAATATACACTTTTAGTTGAACGTTGCCATGGTTACATACATGTAATCAATAGAGTGTTTGAGAAGTACAATTTTAGCGTTTCGAAGTTCTTTTTTCGTTTAATATTATTTTTATACAATTTTAATCAAAATGTCACATACCAAGAATGATGAAGAATTTAATAACTTCATGCACAGAGCAACCGAAGTCAACGCAATCGTGAAACAACTATGTTCCAGTGACCGAAATGAATACGGTAACCTCAATCTTCTCATTTTGGATTTTTTAACTCATATTGATTAGTTTAAGTTTACAAACAAATACTTAATAAATCATTCACCTTATTATCAACTCAAGCAAATAATCATGCTTGCATAGGCTATTATTTATATAGTTAATTACTAACCAATTTAGTAGCTTTATCATTATCATGAATTTAACAATTCATTTTTAATTTAAATTTAAAACAGGGTCATTTTTAATGTGTGTAATGTATGTAATGAAATAATTGATGTAAGTAATTTTATAAGACCCTAAAATAATATTTTGTGTCAATCTTTTTTCACTAAATCTTTTACATTTATGTCTTATAGAAATCGCCAAGAAAAAAGCAGACGCTTATCTTGGTGAAGGAGATGCTGAAAAAAATCTTACTTGTGATGAGAATGGTGAAGTAGTTTTACGTATTCGAGACGACAGGACACTCATTAATCAGAAAGCATTAAAAGCAACCACAGTAAGATATGGATAATTGCAATCTTATAAAATAAATTCATTTTTGATATATTCTTTTTGATAAAAATAATTACTTTTAGAAAAAAACGATAAAATACATGTCGAGATAATTATCTAGTTAAAGATTTATTTTATGTTCCTAATTCCTCATACGCACGACCAATTATTGTTATTATCCTACAATTTAATTAATCGTAGATGTATAGGAGTAGCATGTTAAATAAAATTAATTACAATAGTAATTGTTTAAAAAATGTGATTAGAGCATGTTATCAGCATAGCAGTGCCAGAAACATATTGTATCCAAAATACTCTCTTCTTTTAAAATTAAATTGGTACAACAAAACAATTATGGTTACTTTAATATTCATATAATTAATAGCTGACTCTACCATTCATTAATTTATGAATTTTTTAAATGATGTCAAGAAAGTTTGTGGGCTTGTTTTTTTATACACAGCGATGCAAGAAACCAATGCTGCATTATTTGTCGAATAAATAGTGCGTAACTAATTATAAAAAATAATGTCGTCGGGTATACGGCAATACAATACCAATCCTTTGTTAAAATGTATAACAAATAGTCAAATACCCATTAAATATTTAGTTTTTAGAGTAACTAAAACTATATATCATTCATATCAGGATGGTCCTACTATGGAAGTAGAAACATTTAAGGATGAAATAGAAAAAGATGCTAAGCGGCGTTATAATGACAAAAAGGTGCGCAAAGAAAAGTCTGAAACCTTGAAGGTTCAGGGAAACAAAGCGTTTAGGCGCGCCGAATACGAACGTGCACTTACTTGTTACAATAAGGTAATATATAATTTTGATTATAAATAATATAAATTTTAATACAAGTGATCTGACCAAATATATAATCCTTTTCAGGCTATAGATTTAATTCGCGATTCTCCGTTACTTTATACCAATCGAGCTCTGACCCTAATTAAATTAGGGCTTTGGCAAAAAGCTCTCGGTGATTGCAAAAACGCATTAGAACTTTGCGAAACTGTTGGTGGAGAGACAGAGTTGAAAGCTCTATTATATTCAGCGCAAGCTTGTCATGCTCTAGACTTACCCAAAGAAAGAGACGAGTTTTTGGAACAAGCCACAACCAAACAACCAAGAAAAGCTAAGTTCATCAAGGAATTTGCAGAAGAGTTTATATTTCTAGCCGACTTGCTAAATAAAAATAACTCTAAAATAATTGCTAATTGCGAGAGTTGCAGCAATACCGCAACTCAAAATACTGACAAAGCAGAACAAAATTAGAGAAAATTGCAAAATATCTATGAATGATTATATAATATTAGAAATAATTTACTGTGTTAAAACTAATTATTAAAATTAATTGTAATCGTAATAAATTGTATGATATAATAAATTCGTAGCACAGAATAATATTCGAAGTATTGATTTTAATGTAATAGTGATTGTAGTTAGATGCAATGCAGATTTAAGTTTCTATCACAAACTTAAAATAAAATCAGAAATTCATCAGTTATGAAGAATTTTGTACATTTATCAAATACATAATCTATAGCGGCGATTCATTTGCTCAAGTGCTCAAAGTTATTAATCGGAAAGTTCTGAAAGTTGATAATAGGTAAAATACTTATTTTTATTAGATACTCTATTCTTGTTTTAAACCTAATGTCGGCAACTGATTTTTTATCTTATATTCGTATCATATATGCTGAAAATTTAGTAGTATGTAATATATATTTAAATAAAATTATCTTACCTAATAACATAAGCACTCCCAAAAATGATATGCACGAATACAGAAAAGGCAAGTAATAACTCCACAAATCTGAAACAAACATATTTGCATTAATAACATTATAGAATTACCATATAAGCACCACATGCATACGCCAATACAACAAATAAAAATATTTGTACCACTAATAAATATTTAGAACTTCAAACATTGCCCGCAAGATTAAAATACTTGAAATCTTAACATACCGTTGAAATTATTTTTTCTCATACTTAAAATATAATTATATATTTATATTACATACCGACCCGGCTGAGCACATGTATGTATAAAATGATTATAACATATCATACGAGCTTAGCATTGTAAATTAAGAATGAGAATTTAATAACGTCTTGCCAATGAAAGTAATGATCAGTATTTATATTTTATTTTAATTCCTTCTGGATAATAAAAAAATATATAGTCATTCTGTGTAGCCTCGAGAGCACGATGTATATTAGATTACAAACACAATTTTAATAACTTTAGTAATTTTAAAACGATTTTATTTTAATAATTTAGTAATTTTAGAATAATAAATTTAAAAGTGAATCAATATATAAACACATTATTAAATCAAATGAATTAATCATGTTTAAGTACAGAGTTTGCTCAATGTGTTGATGTAATTAGAATACATAAAACATTCATTTTAAGCGACAGAAATGTAGCAGCAAAATTAATTCTCCAAAATTAATTGATCAGTAGAGTATACCTGAAAGGCCAACCCACCACGTTGAAAAGAAAATTGACACCTCATTTAGTCCAGTTAAACCTAATTTATTGATGATTGCTATATGATGAATATATCAATTTACTATATTTTATTGATTTTTTTTTTCTTTTGTTATTTTTATTATTATATGTTCTATACTCCAAGTACCATATACGCCGCTGGGTGTTGCTACCATTTTTTATTTAATATTGTCAAACATATATTATTAGCAGAATCTGTTTATTGTTTGCAGAAAAAAAAGCGGAATAAAATTAATATAAAAAATGGAACCTCCAACATTGGCTGATATGATAAATAATTTTTGTACATAAATTACTTTTATAAAATACTCACTTAGTAGAGTCTGTATACTAGAATTATCCTTGTCAATTAACGCCGACATAACATAAGTAATTCCCAAAACGACAACCGCCAATAAGGTTAATACTGTGACGGTTTCGTAAGCTCTGCCCAACACTCCTTTTCGCGTTCCTTCGAATCCGGAAGACTCCGCAAACAGGTACGCAAATGGCAGAAGTACGAATAGTGATAAATTTGAAAACAAGAATACATGGTTCCACAATCCTAAAAAAAAAATATAAAGCATTATTATTATAATTTTGAGGTAAATGCAAATCAGAAACTAAAACTAACGGCAAGATTTGACAAAATTAATGTCTATATATGTAACTAGTGGTGCATGGCATCGTGCCTTAAGGCAAATTGCTGAAACTTCCCGTACCGAAAACTAAATTATGAAAAAAATATCTGTAAAAAAAACTAAATTTTTAAATTTTCAAGAAATTTTGAAATTTTTGAAAAAAATGACTTTTTTTAAAAAAATGTTTTTTTATATATTGATTTTTTTTTTAATTTTTAACATTTTTTTTAAGCAATCGCGCTGCATAGCTGATTTGGAGTCGAAAAATCAAAGCGCGTAAGCGCGGCGTAGTCGTCTAATGCGTAAACATTGGTACGAACCCATATAAATGTAAACAAAATTTGTACTTATTATAATCTTTATAAAATATTTTATGATACGATGTACATATGTACCGCCAAATGGCATTATTTTTTCCTTTTTTAATTGGATCTCCGGAGACGCTGGACCTGCCTTTACAAAAAATTTACCAGCTGTTCATTTCGTCAATGTAAGTGAAATTAATTCACATTAAGTATGGATTCAGTACCATAAATATTTGCTCGAAAATTATTTAAAGTGATGTATTGATTGATACAAATATAAATTTGTTGTAATTGTCAAAATGTTCAGAAACTTTTGAAACGTAAAGATATATGAAAATTTTCATTTCCGATTTTTTTGCCATTACTATAACTTACCCTACAAAAAGTTAAAAATATCATTAATATATAAATAACAATCAAAGAAATAATAAATATTAACCAATTACTGAAGAATACTACTAAAAGTTAACAGTGGTTGTTTCCCAGCATTTACTTCGACAGAGGCTTAAATCTAAAACTAATATATAAATTATTAATTAAACCTAAAATAACTCCTAAGAAGCCTTGAACCAAAAAACAATTATATTACTGATATTGGCATGTAGGTACATTTCTATGCTTATGTGATCGATTGTACTCTCGTAATTGAACAATATTTTTATCTTTTGGAATAGATTTTGCCACAAAAAAAACAGTAAATTTTATCCATTCATTAATAATTGGGTAGAAATATCCTTTAAAATATATGCAAGAGATTGAGCGATATCTTCTTCCTCTTTTAAGTAATCGTAAATTAAATAAACATCGCAAAATATAACATAAAAACCATAATTTTTAATAGCTAAAAATTTAATTACTATGAAGACTTATTTATTATGTTAAAATTTTCATTATTTGTATAGAATATTATTTTTTTTTTCCTTTTATCTACCGATTGCATTCATTCTAATAAAGCGTTGAACGAAGTAAGAAATAATATCATAAACTGAAATACGGAGAAAAAACATAACGATTAATAAAATAAACCAATTATTCGTGATAGATTTACTCTTGTATATATGACATTGTTGATATAGCTATAAATTATAACAATCTATCATATGAAAAATTTATTTGTATTACTTGAAACTAATCTTCCGTATGAAAAGTTCCTCATTGTACGTATGTCCCTTTGGCGCAGCGGATAGCGCGTTGGACTTCTAATCCAAAGGTCGTGGGTTCGATCCCCACAAGGGATGTTGAATTTTGCATCTTAATTTATTTAAAACTTAAATTATTTTTACGAATACTCATCACTTAAAATAAATTTAATATGTACGGTTATTGTGATTTTTTTTATAAACGGCCTGTTGATTAGATAAAAATAACATTGGCCGTAATAGTTTTTATTAACTTCCCGTAGGGTAAGTTATAGTAATCGCCCAAAAATCGGAATCAAAAATTTTTACATTTCTCGACGTTTTGAAGGTTTCTGAACATTTTGGCATACCTCAGAAAAAATGGATGTGTGTGTGTGTGTGTGTGTGTGTGTGTGTGTGTTTTGTATGTCCGCGTTTTTTCGTCCACGTTTTCGGGCGCACGGATCAACCGATTTGAATGGTTTAAAAAACATTCGATTCCTATTGATAGGGAGATGTGCTGATTAGTTTTTGGCAAAGGCAGGTCCAGCCGTTACGGAGATATGGAGCAAAGAGTGCAAAAAATAGAAAGCGAGTTTTTGAGAGAACGGATCAACCGATTTGAATGGTTTAAAAAACATTCGATTCCTATTGATAGGGAGATGTGCTGATTAGTTTTTGGCAAAGGTAGGCCCAGAGGTTTCGGAGATACAGAGCTAAATTTAAAAAAAATGGCTGTTTTTGAGAGAACTAAGCGTCCGATTTAAATGATTCAAAGAACTTTCTGCTTTTTTCAACAAAATAATTAATTTTGGAAAAAAAAAATTTTTGTTTCTAATTTTTTTTTCAAAAATTTTTTTTTGTAATTTTGGATTAAAAATTCAAAAAATCACCCAAGCTAAGCACAGTCTAAGCGCCACTCTGGTACAAATGTTTACCCAAGTGCGTTTAGACTGTTTGTGTACTGGAGCACTTTTCCAATTTTGTGAAAATTATTGAAAAATGTGAAAATGCCGCCAAGATGAGCACAGTATAAGTGAAAATGTCGCACAGAATTATTTGCAAATGCGTTTAGACTGTGACTATGCGGGAGCACTTTTTCAATTTTGTGTAAATTTGGCAACTATTTTTTTTTTTGAATTTGATTCGAAATGAAATGACGATTGTTAATGTTCTGGAGATGATAAATTGATTTATTTATAATTAACTTTCCATAGGGTAAGTAATCGCAAAAAAATCGAAAATGAAAATTTTTATATATCTTTTACGTTTCAGAGGTTTCTGAATATGTTGGCATACCTTGGAGAAAATTGATGTATGTGTGTGTGTGTGTGTGTGCGTGCATGTGTGTGTGTTCGGATACAAATTTTCGTCGGGAACACAGATTTCGGGAACACGGATGAAGCAATTTGAATAATTCAAAAAATATTCTAGCCGTTCCGAAGATATGGGGCAAAAAGGGCCAAAAACGGTAACTCAGTTTTTAAGAGATTTGTATAGTTCAAAAAACATTTTACTTGTATTAACAAGATGAAGATTTGATCAAATTTTCATGAAGATAGGTCTAGCGGTTTCAGAGATCTAGTAAAAAAAACTAAAAAAAAATAACATTTGGCGGTCAACAATAATCATTAGACATTAGACATATGCATATCAAATTATCAGATATTTTATTGAGATTTTAACAATAAGTATAAGTTTTGTTTACATTCCTATAGGTTCCGTACCAATGTTTTTCCGTTAGACAGCGACGCGGCGCTTACGCGCTTTATATTTTGTCTCTATGCTGTTAAAGCAGTACGATTGCTTTGAAAAAAAGTTCAGATCTTCCAAAATATATCAAAATGAAGATAACATTTTTTCCAAAAAAAAATTTTTATAAAAAAAATTGTTTAAAATTTTTTTTTTAAAAAAAAATTTTTTTCAAAAAAAAGTTATTTTTTGTCCAATTTAAAATTTCTAAAAAATCTTATTTTTTCGAAGTAAAATTTTTTGCAAAAATGTTAATCGTTTTTAAAAAAATAATAATTTTTGGCACGGGAAGTTCCAGCAATTTGCCTTAAGGCACGATGCCTTAATTGCCTTAAGACAGAATTCCACTTACAGCTAGTTTATATATTGTTCATAAATAAACTTTATCTGTAATTCTAAACAAATAATTCCCATATTAATTAAATGATTGATAGCGCTGGGTCAATCTGATATCTGATATTCTATCATTCAAAACTTATTTATAAAACCTATAATCAATGATTAAATAGAATTGGGAAATTTACATTAACTTATCAAAGATAAATTCTACTGAAACTTTCCATAAGTTATACTTTTAATAAATATGTTCCACAAAATACAAATTTGAATTATTCAGCAATAAACTTTCACAACCCTTTCCACTCGGATGCCGCCGCTACGGCGGTAAAATTCATATAAATCTCGGAATTCGCGAGTGGAAAGGATTAATAAAGAAGAATCCGATAAAAATCAAAAAGTAAAACAATATTAAATATTAAATTAAATTCAATGTTAAATAAATTATATTTAAATATAGAAGATTATCCTGTAAAATATATTGAGTCAAATACCACAAAATTATATAAGTAATTTCTTTAACAAGCTATATTTAAAATATTGGCTAAGAAAGTACAATAAAATTTACAAAATAGTCTGATGAGTGGAATCTGAAATTGCAACATCTTTTAATAAATTTGTATAAGGAAAAGTTTGATAATATAAAAGCAAAGGCAATGCAATTTTTATCGTATTCATTTATATGAAATGAGACGTGGGATATCATTTTATCATTATTATTGATATCATCCAAAAGCAAGCCTATCTAACATTAAGATCATAAGATTTATCGCTTACTAGTGATAATATTTTGACTGCAATCGAGAGTAAAAAAAATATATGAATAAACATTTAGAAATATAACTAGGTTTCAGTTGGAAAAATTGATTAATAATTATCATTATATATTCAATTTGAATCTTATTAACTTCCATTAGGGTAAGTAAAAGTAATTGCAAAACATCGAAAATAATTTTACTGCATATCTTTACGTTTTAAGTTCTGCTGGTCATTTTGGCAAAGTGTATTTGTATGTATGTGTATGTGCGCGCGAATACAAATTTTCGTCGAAGATTTCGGGAACACGGGTCAACCGATTTGAATAATTCAGAAAAACATTCGATTCGTATTGATAAGCAGACGTGCTGATTAGTTTTTGGCAGAAGCAAGTCGAGCGAACAGAGCGTCCAATTTGTATGATTCACAAAACATTTTATTTGTATTGACGAAATGAAGAACTGATGATATTTAGAAACTGACTGTGGAGGCAGGTCTAGCGGTTTCAGATATCCAATAAAAGTGAAAAAAGCCATTTGGCGGATAAAAATGATCACTAAAGATATGCACATCAAATTATCACATATTTTATAAATATTTTAATTGTAAGAACAAATTTTGTTTACGTTTTAATGAGTTTAACGGTTATATTGCGACGCAGAGCCCACGTGGCGCCCACGCGCTTCGATATTTCGTTTCTACGCAGCTAACGCATTGCGATTACTTTGAAAACAAGTTCAAAATTCACAAAAAAATTCAAAGTACAAAAAAAATCTAATTTTTCATTTAATATTTTTCAAAAATTTTACAAATCTCAAAGATTGACATTTTTCAGAGTTCTAAAAGAAAATTGAATCTTTTTTAAAAATTTTAGTTTTTGGTATGGAAAGTTTCAGCAATTTGCCTTAAGGCACGATGCCATGCACCACTATTAATAGCCTCTAAAATTGTATTGTTTTGATTGCTGTTTATAAGATGAATAAAAAAAAATATAATCAATTAGTTTGCCAATACATATTCTGTTACAAAAATTCTGTTATTCTGTTAGTTAAATTGCGATATAATATAATTCATGTTGTTATTGCATATTTAAATATTATACCATAGTCTCATACCACGGATTATATGTAATTAAACTTTTAGTATTAGAATAAGAAATTTTTTCGCTGAATGAAAACTAAGGCTATATATAGTCGAAATGTGTGCATTCAAACGTATAAAGTATTTTTTGTAAGCAGCGATCGTCTGATACGATAAGGATTCTATCAGCAATTGTGATAAATTTCTTCGGTATTTTACAGATGACAACGCAAACAGTTGCCCCATATATTTATGTGATGAATTTTTATTATTACATTTTCGGCAATAGTGATCAATCTCGATTGTTGCAGCAATACCAGGTAACGGCTAATTTTACATGAAAACATATTGCTATTCAGAAAACTTTTATCTCTGCTATATAGGTTATTGTTAATATATATTAATATTTATTTATTGTTGTATGTCGTTTACCTTGAATCAGTGAGCTGTTCAGCCATTTCACATAATAGCTGTTGGGATACAGTATCAGCACTTCGTTACTTGCAATAGACATAGGTAGTAAAAGTGCTGCTCCCACGCTGACTGCAAGCGCGAAGGTGCAGAGCCATAGGCTGATTCTGTACACCGTCGCCTCGCCATCGTCGTCGTAGGCGCAAGTGTAAAAATCATCGCGCTCTTTGCGACGAAACCATCCAATCAGCCAGTACGAAGAGAAATACAGCAGAAGAAAGAGTAATAGAAATATCTGCAAGAAATAAGGAATTTAAGGAAATAAGTTTATTTTTGGATTCTACATAAAATATAACATTGTGTACCAAATGTACAACCGAATTTATTTTCGAACATATGATGAATATATTTCTTTAATAAACATTTCAATCAACCACTAAACACTTATTGCTTGAGCGATTGAGATGACATAAATAAATAAACCAACAGATCAATTGGTGTTCCGTGATATACACGATCCAGTTTATAACGAAGGTCGAATATTTTCAGAGAACTTACTCGACTTATGAATATATTCATTATTAACTGAATAAGAAGTTTATATTATTGCGAGATTTGCAACATAAAATTATGTTTTCTCAGCGTTTCAAGTCACTCTGAATCGAATGAGACCGAATTTGTGAAAAGTATGTGTATCGATTTTTCACCTTTCATCAAGGTTTTCTCAAAAATAGCCAAACCGATTTAAAAATTTAAAAGACATTCGAAAAAAACTTGATAAACATTCTCGTCTGTTAGTCTTTTGATACAATCGTCTGAGCGTTTTTTCATGGGCATTTCATACGATACGAGTATTTGTGCAAATTTAAGAAAATAAGAAATAATAATAATCAAGCAAGCGTGTGTAAGATGATATTTTCCCAAAATTGCGATCAAATCCTAGTCAAGATGAAAATCCGTTTGTTTGAGGGTATTCGTATCGTGCGTAGCGCCCTTTAGAATTAGCCGAAAAGTGCAAAATTTTTCGTCCACGTTTTTTTGTAAAATCTGATCGATTATGAAAATTTAAATACCATTCGAAAGGTATCATTTCGTGCTTATTAGGTTTTGACAATGATTTTCCAGGCCCTCTATACATAATTGATTGTTAAAAAATATGTCGATTTTAATGCAATTTTGTATGGCGATAGAGTACGAAGTCTTAATACATATGCAAACATATTATAGTCCTACAAAAAGTGATTGAAATGAATGAAAATTAACTATTAATGGGCTGAGATTTTGGAATATACTTCGCTTATTTATTAAGCGCGTGTTTTTCAATACATCTGTAGTAAAAAAAATTATACAAAATTGATTAATATGCAATAATTTCTCACATTATATGGCTAAATAGCAATTCGGTATACTTATGCTTAATACTTAATATATTGATATCTTATTGATTAAGTCGATTACATATTTCGAGAAGCCCATGCAAATTGCTTCAACAAATTATCAATTACAACTAGGTACTCCAATAATTCTTAATGTATAATCATTAAGATTTTTGCATTTTTATCATTTTCGGTAAAAAAATACAAAGCGGACGACACTATCTTTTTACCATTACAAAATAAATTCATAGGTTATAGGAATAGAGGTTTGAACATAATGCATTAGCGTGATTTATATATTTGAAAAATTGAAGACATTAAGCATAATTACTAATATTCAAATTTTATTTGAAATTAAAAGCAGTTTATTGAATATCAAATGTTTTAAATTTCAAAATAAATGAATTATATGTAACGATTAGTGTTCTCTTGAGGGTTTCCTCAAATTTCATTAAAATTGCAGAAAATTTTCCTCATAAATATTATCGACTTCTAATATTAGTAATTGCATAAATAATGTAGCTCAATCCATTTAGGATAAGTTGTTTTGTTAAAAGATGAAAAAAAACGATTGAACCTAATTAGTAGTTGCTATCACCAATACTATGTCTTATTCTCGTTTATCAATGCATAATTATGAAGTTGTTTTAAAAATATTCATAATTCATATCACAGAAAACAGATAATTTAATATTCTATATAAACATTTAAGCAAATTAATTACAATAATGTAGATAATCTATCAGTGAATTATTATTATCAAAATAAATAAAACAAACTATTATTAGAAACATAACATAAAACATCGGACTACAAACGGAGTGAAGCGAAGTATCAATCAAACCAATAACCAATCCATTTTCTTGTCATTTCGTAGCCAAGAAAAATAGCAGCGTTTACAGGAAACGCTCTAACTGCAATTAATTGAGCTCCTCGGAAAAGTCCCGTCAGGCCGTCTTGCCTATATGATACTTTAAAACAATGAAAAGTGCCTTTGAACTCGTGTTTGGTATCGGCCTGAATTCTGGTTTTGACCACGTCAAAAGGAATCACAGGTAACCAAGCCACCACACCGGCGGTTCCACCAGCGATACAAGTTTGAAAAGCTGTTCTCGATTTGACGTCCTCTGAAAAGGCTTGAAGAATTTTTTCATAAACTATTACATAAGCGGCACATCCCGGAACGTCCCGCCAACACATGGCGACTAGTCCTTTGAATAGACCCCTGACTCCATCCGTTCTTATTATATCTTTTATTACAACTAAAGCCATCTTTGGCTTTTTTTTATCAGTCTGTTGCCTGATTTTGATCAAATCTACCGGGCAAGCAACAACTGTCTGCCAAAACCCGGCAAAAATCGAAGCAATACTCATATCAATCAGCAGTTGATCCTTGGATTTTCGATCTTCGCCAAGACGTTCCATTGCGCTACCATATAATCCAAAGAATACAGAATTGTTAAACCCTGTATTTAATAAAGGAAAGAAAAATCCGCGATAAAATCCTGGTATATGTTCTTTGCGGTAAAGCTTAATAGTGCTTCTTAAAAATGTTGACCTACTGGCTTGCATTCGCGCCTTGACTGTATCGAATGGCTGACCGACAAAAAGGCCGAATCCGCCAGCAACCGTGCCGGCGATAAATTCGGTCAAGTTGAAAAAATCTAAACCTGGAATGTCCATTGTAGAACAGGATGTTCGAAGCTATTTTTTCGTACATGGCTCGTAATTGATAAATGAACGATAACTTCTATGTTCAATTGCCGTGCATTGTTATTGCTATCTGTAATTTATTCACCAACGGCGTGTCGCACCCATGATTTGCTTGAATTCCATCAATATATCTTTGTTGCGCCCATGTAGTGCTTGACTGATGAAACACATCCGTCTGGTTATAATGCAATTACTGTGATGCAATTTCCTATATAAATAGATCGACTGTTGCTTTTCTTATTGAGAATTGAATTGAAATGCAGTTGAACTAATTGACAGAAAATTTTGAATTATTTTGTATTTAATTTGTCATTTTGACAAAACATTTGTCAAAAATAAAGTGTGTTTGATAATACTTTAGAACCGATTATCCCATAAATTCCTAGCAGAAAAACCAAAATGCGAACAAAATTTAAAGAGAAATTATGTGTACAATTAAAGTAATACTCCCAGTCAACAAGAAATAGTAGAAATATCATTTGTATATCAATTTTTCTGGACTAATTTCTTTACCGTACTTTATACCATTATACCATTGAATCTTAATAAATAATTATCTTCTATATATATAAAAATAAGTCGTGTTTTCCATCCTGACGAAATAACTCCAGAACGCACGAACCGATTTCGACAATTTTGCATTCGTTGGAAAGGTCTCGGGCTCCGCAAGGTTTATAGCTAAGAAAATAAAAGCACCGTAATTAAAAATTCGAGTAATAAAAATAATCAACAATTATTTTAAATAATTTCAAATAGATTATCTTCTTCTTCTATATATATAAAAATAAGTCGGGTTTTCTTTCCTGATCAAATTTTTCCTTTTCAAATATAAAACAAACAAAAAATTTCTTCATCTTTCTCACGAAACCATCTGGTGGCGAAACGGAGTTCGTCGGGTTTGCTAGTCTATATATAACATTCATTAGTTTTTTAATTATTAATAATTCGTATTTGTGTTCTAATTTTGATGAGATAATAAAGCTTTCACGGTTTATAACTAAGGAACAGATTCTGTCGCATAACAGAAACATTTTATGGCAAGGTCTTGCTACGCTCCAACTCCCATACATTATGCTACTGAATCATACTGAATACCGTCGAAATGTCATGTATTTGCTGTGCATTCAGGCATTTTACACATAAACTGCAACGCCACTCGTATGTTATGGAGCTGAGTCAGAAAGACCCTGTTATCTAAGATCATTTTTTGGACATTTGTGCGACTTCTAGGTTAGTTTTCCTATCTGACAACCTAAGAAATATGCCTGACTGCACAGTAACCACATGGCTTTTGTCAATATTTTGTATGAAAAGTTCTTCATAACACGGCCTTGCCATAACATTTTTCTGTTATGCGACAGAATCGGTCTCTTAGTCTTTAGAATAGCACACAATTCAATTTAATAGAAATGCGACAGAATTGATTCCTTAGTCTTTAGAATAACATCCAATTCAATTTAATAGAAATCCTGGAACATTCGTATCCTAATCATACACGGTTTATGGCAATAAGTTGTAACAATTGGTTTTTAATTGATGATCACATTAAAATATTAGTATTACAAAATTCTAATAATAAAAATATATCAAATATAGATAGGCTAACTATTGCACGGCTTTCTAAAGAACCACACATTTAAGAAGTATTATGAAAAGCTCACAGAACTTTCAAATTCTGATAGTTGTTCAAAGAAAAATATAATGATGTAATAAATAAAGTATTTCCTTAAAATTATTAAATTAATATTGTTGGAGTATTTTGTCTGTATTTAAATCACATTGTTTAATATGGATAAAAAATAATATAATAAGAATTCGGTCGTTTTAATTCGAAACAGAAGTCAGACGGTTTTCTTCATTTTAATGTGGTTCAGAAAATCGAATAACTCGCATGATTCAAACAAAAAATTCGCATTCAATAACAAATCGACTTAATAAATAGAAAATTCATATAAATAATAGCCATTATTTAAAATTTCAATATTCGGATGATTAGTTTCATTTTAATATGAATCAGAAATCGAATGACTCGCATGATTCAAATAACATTTGCATTCAATAACAAATCACTTAAAATATGCAACAAAAAGCAAATAACGACATAGGAAAAATTCTTATAAATATCAATATAAATTAAAATTTTGAATATTATTTCAAATTTCAACTTTTAATGATAAAACTGAAGTAGTATGTGACTCGAAACTAA